ACTCGTATTACCCAATTTATTAAACGAAAAAGGGAAAATACAGTAAAACATTTTGGACGTTACAATTATCATTTATTATTTATTATATTGTTTATGGCATCAAGCTTGTACAGTATGAGCCAATCAGTGGCAGTAATGACAGAACATGCGCTGTTAAGCAAAAACCGCGATAGAGTGAAGCCGCGGAAGTCGAAGCTCGAAGTGGCGAGGGTTCACTGTATCTAGGATGCTCACAGACAAGGAATGACCAAGAAAGTAGCCCAAGAAAGTGGGGCGGGGGGGTGACAGGTGACTCACCCCAGAGAAAAGACAACCGAGTAGGCTAAGAAAGCTACAACTCCTAAGGAGCCTTGGCTAAAGCTCGGCCACAACCAAATGGCTGGGGACTTGAGCCCACCCAGCTGCTCTGCAGGACCAAGAGCTGCCGATCTGCTCCCAGAGAATCAGCGTCACAAGCCCCAGTCACGCCGCTGCAACGGACACAGCAGCAGCTAACAACATGACTGTAAGCAACCTATGTACTGGATGCACTGGAGGTTAGAAGAAACCCCTTCCCCGGGCCCCACCAAAAATAAAGGAGGCAAACTTCAGTTTCAAATAAGAACGAACTTCTTAACAAAGATGTTCAGGAGTGATATAAATTGCCTCATAAAATAGCTGGGCTCTTTGCCACAGGAATTCTAAAGTATAAACTGGATAATCTAGAACAGAGATATTTGTTATGTTCAAGAAATGCCAGCCCTGTGCTAACCAGCAGGCTCAGGGTGGGGTGTAGCTTTAGTACTGCTTAGGTTCATTTTTGGCCTGAGGCTACAAATATGATCTATTAATGTCAACATACAGAGTCTCTTTACAGCAAATTACATTTCCTTTCTTTTTTTTTAATTTCTTCTTTTTTTAATTTAAATTTTATATTTTGGGGGCTCTTACAGCTCTTATCACAATCCATACACACATCCTTTGTGTCAAACACATCTGTACATACGTTGTCATCTTTTTCAAAACATTTTCTTTCTACTTGAGCCCCATACATTTCCCTTCAACTCAAGGTACAGATGACCAAAATCCTCACAACTGGATCAATAGGTAACATCAAGATAAATGGAGGAGAGATTGAAGTTGTCAAGGATTTCACCTTGCCTGAGTCAACAATCAATGCTCATGGAAACAGCAATCGAGAACAAAAGATGTATTGCATTGGGTAAATCTCTGCTGAGACCTCTTTAAAGTGTTGAAAAGCAAGGATGTGACTTTGAGGACTAAGTGCACCTGACCCAAGCCATGATATTCTCCACTGCCTCACATGCATGTGAAAGTTGGAAGACTGAAAAAACAAACCCAAAAAAAACCCCGATGCATCTGAACTATGGTGTTAGCGAAGAACACTGAGCGCATCACAGACTGCCAAAAGAACAAACCAGTCTGTCTTGGAAGACGAAGACCAGAATGCTCCTTAGAGGCAGGCGAGACTTCATCTCGTGCATTTTGAGTATTATCCAGAGAGACCCGTCCCTGGAGGAGCTCATGACTGGTAAAAAAGAGGAAGGCCCTCAAGATGGGTTGACACTTGGCTGCAACAATGGGCTCAAGCACAAGAACAATTGTGAGGTCGGCGCAGGACCCGGCGGTGTTTCTGTTGTGCCCAGGGTCACGATGAGTGGGAACCTGCCGGTGGCATCTAACAGCATTAATCGCAGCCGTTTCCTTTTCCCGCACAGACAACCCAGCCCTCCATCTTCCGTCAGGGTTAGCGACACTCCCCATCTCGATAAAGCAGCTGCTGCTGCAGCCACAAGGCCCACGATTTGTGGGCACATTCGATCGATCCCCACTATCCTCTGCTGGGCCTCCCGTGTCCAGGCCAGAAATAGGCACTTTCTCTGCAGCAGCCCTCGGGGCTGGCAACCTATCCAGGGATTCACTCAAGAACCAAGAAAAAGCAATTAGGCCCAGGGCTTCAAATCCCGGGTCTGGGGCAACGCGCGCCTTACCTTCCACGGAAGGGGAGAAGATGACGAGATTGTCATAGAGGAACTCGCCGTACTTAATGAGGGACAGGCTGGGGTCGTCGGCTGTCTTGAATGTGAGTTCAAAGCCCCGGTCTGCAGAAGAAAACGGGCTGAGGCCGATGGAAAGCACGGGAAACCGGGGCTGCAGGGCTGGACCAGGGGACCCGCTCGCAGGACTCCAATGGAAGGGAGGTCGGCTGGCACCCTCGGGCCCGGGCGCCTTCCCAGCCCCTGCCCCTCACCCGCCGCCCCCTCGGGTCCCGCTCTCACCCTTCAGACTCCGGAAAAAGAGCGAGTGCGTCTCCCGCAGGTTGAGGTTATCCAGCAGCACTAAGGTGCGGGGACCGCTGGCGCAGACCGGGCCACGCAAGGAGAGCAACAGCCACAAGAGGGACCAAGCACGGAGCGAGATGTGGACTCCCATCTTCCTTCTCCTGCCAAAGCGCCCCGCACCGCGGCACCGGAAGTGCCCGGTCCACGGTCGTCCAATCGCAGGTCGCGGCCCGGGAGTTCCACCCGGAAGTGATCGGAAAGACCGGGACCCGGAGTCCCCAGCCGCCGGCTAGGCAGCAAAGTGGGCGGAGCCTTGTTACACCGTCCCGGGCCGGAGGGGATTCTCTGAACTCTTATTGGCTAAAAGAGCGCTGGGCACCGCCTTCCCAAAGCAAAAGACGCAATCCTAGCGAGACAGCTCTGCAGCCGGAGCCAATCACGAAGGCCGAGCAGCTTTGGCTCCTCCCAGCCGATTCTCGGCCCCGGACCGGTTGCAATCTGCGAGGAGGTCGGCTGCTTCCTCGCTGCGTTGTCCGCGAGGGACTGCGCCGGCGGCGGCCACTCCGAGCCACCTCCTCGTCCCTCTTTAGCGGAAGCCTGGGCGGATTCCAGACGGGAGCCTGAGTTCCCGGGGAGGAGGGGCTGAATAAACAGGATCAGGAACTGGGGCCTTCTGACGCTTGGGGCTCTCGACCCAGGCCGCCACGGGCCGTGCTGGCCACTTTGGCGGCTCCGTGGATGAGCGGTGGACTGGCCTTAACCCTTAGTAAGCTACAGTTTGGGAATTAGGGGGAGCCTTGGCGATACCGTAGGGTAAGCGTTGGATTGCTAACTACAAAGCTTTCTGTTCTACAACTTACGGCTTCGCAACCCCGATCACCGTGGGGTCGCTAGGAGAGCCAGTCAACCCAGTGCGGTGGGTAACACCGGGCGCGGCGGGTTCAGGCTGAGCACCTGGTCTCACCATGTGGTTTCCAAGCCTCCCCAAACTGTGCTGGCTTGTCAACATTTCAGCGGCTCCATGGTGAAGACAAACGATGAGAAAGGGCAGATGTTTTCTGACCTTCTACACGTGTCCACGTGTCTTTGAACTGTGGTGCTAGAGGAGAATGTGGAAGGGTCCGGGGACTGCTAAAAGGGCAGACAGGCAAGGACTTTGGGCACATTGTCAGGAGACGCCTGTCCCTGGAAAAGGACATCATGTTTGGTAAAATGGAGGGGTAGTGGAAACAACGAGAGCCCGCAATGAAATGGATTGACAGTGGCTGCGTCGATGGGCTCAGCACAGGAATAGTTGCAGGCGGCGCAGGACCAGGCAGTGCCACCTGTTGTGCACAGGGTCGTTATGGCTCCGGGCCGACTCGGTGGCACCTAACAACACACTTGCCCACCAAGCCAAGAATGAAGGGCAGAAGTCAAAAGCCACCACGCCTCCCGATTCAGCTTCCCCTCCATCCCCACTGGCTCAGTCCTGAGTCCTCACCATGAAATCCTGCAAGCCACCCACCACGCTCTCTCACCCTCCCCACAGAACCAGTTCCCCCCACATTCAGACCCAGGGGTGGCAAACCCGTGGCTTGAGTCTGGCACAACTTAGGGACCCCAGGTTTCCACCTCCTCTTGTAGCCTCAGCCCCTGCTCAGGGCTTCCAGGGAACAGGCATTGCCCAACCATCACAATCCCTGGGTTTCTGGCACCCTGGCATCTGCTCACAAAGCTCCCACCAGGCCCACCCTGCCCACACTCCAGCTTCTCAGGGTGCACCCCACCTTGAGGCAGACCCACCCAGGTGCTGCTCCCTTCCAAAGGGTGCTTCGCTCCCTGGGGGATGTGACTCACCCTAGCCTCCCGCAGCTGCCTTCGATGAGGCTCATGTCTGTCATCACCTCAGCGGGCCCCTCCAGCTGTGAGCGCCCCCCCGCCCTTCCCAAGTGAGGCAAGACAGAGCAAGAGGCAGTGATGTGAAGCACCTACTGTGTGCCAGGATCCTGACACACATCACATTTGCCCTCACAAGAACCCTGTGAATGGGCATTAGCCCCATGTCACAGATGAGGCCCAGAGTGAACTGGGAGGGCAGCCAGCACCAAAGGCCAAAGCTTCTACATCAAACCTGGAATCCAGCTAGCCCCAGGATGCCTGGGGCAAGCAGAGAGGGGCATCTCCAGTATCCAGGGGGGCCTGGATTAATTTCTGGCCCCGGCAAGAAATCCAGTGCAGGCAAACCCCCAGAGATAGGTCAATTCTTAGGCCTTTCTCTGGCCTCACAAGGCATGCCCTCTATTTTCCAATACATGGGCTCCAATTTCCTCGGCCACAACTTTAAGAGTCTAATGGAAGCTCAGACGCACTCCTCAGGAACATGTGCTTGGGCTCATGATTGCAGGGGGCTGCAGAACCCCTCATGGCTCCAGGGACCAGCGAGCCACAGCGGGGAGGGCCCAGTGACAAAGGCAGTGACCAGGGAGGGGAGTCTGTCTTTAAGAGGCAGTTTATTGTGGCCACTGCCCAATCAAGGGCCACAGACCAGCGGCAGCAGGTGAGCTGGGAGCAGCTGCACCTCCTTAGGGAAGGCACACTTCACAATCACTAAGATGCTCTGCTTCACACACGGAAGCCACCGTACATTGTCAGGGCCGCTGGTAAAGGCCCGGGGGCAGGGCTGGGGCTCCAGAGCCCAGGCAGAGACCCACATGGTGGGCAGGAATGTAGGTTCTGGGCAGGCAAGCAGGTGGAAATACTGATGTGGTGTGGAGAGCTGGCCCAGGCCCAGCCTCGAGGGGTCACACCCCAGACAGAACCCGGGATGAGCTCTCTGGGGCACAGGGAGGGGGGTGAGTCTTCCCAGGGCTGAGGGCAGGTGAGGGAAGCCTGGCTGAGGCTGCCCTGGGAGGGCCTGGCGGGCTCAAGAAGCCTGGCGGCAGGGCAGCGGCCAGCAGCCGGTGGTCACAGAGGCTCGCTGCTAAAGTTGCTTTTGCTCTTTTTGCGCTTGGCCTTGGTGAAGGGGATGTCGAGGGACTCAAGGCGGAAGGGCCGGGGCTGGGGCATTTCTGGGAGCTGGGTGGGTGTGATGGCAGAGTTGTTGCTGAGAGGGGAGCCGAGGCCTGGCGGCGAGCTGTGGTGACCTGTGGAGAAGAAGGCAGAAGGTGCTGGTAAGGCAGGGGAGAAAGAGTCTGAGAAGCGGTTCCAACAGAGACCTGATGCTCGCCCCCGAGTCCCAGTACAAGGAGATGGCCCAGGGGCGTGGAGTTCTGAAGCCTCACACTGGCACAGCCTGGGACCTCAAGGCCCAGCTCCACCACTTTCCAAAAGGCTACCCTGGGGCGAGTCACCTCTCCTGGGCCGCTCTTTCCTTATCTGTGCCAAGTCGATGCTAGTTTCTTTCCTGGTCCCCCAACTCCACTTGGCGTCACTTAAATCTCATTCTCCAAACTTCACCGCCATGGGACTGATGCTGACTGGCAGCGACGCCGTGGGCAGAGAAGAAGTGTCCCTGTGGGTTTCCGAGACTTTGCCTCCTGACTGAGGCAGACAGCCTCTGCTTTCTCCCATGGAGCAGCTGGGAGCTTTGAACCCCTCACCTTGCAGTTTGTGACTCAGTGTGTAGCCCAGGACACAACTGAAACCAACTCACTGCCATGGAGTCGACGCCAACATCCTGGTGACACGGCGGTTACGCACTGGCCTACTAACTGCCAGGCGGGCAGTTGGAGACCACCAGCCAATCCTTGGGAGAAAGACGGGGCTCTCCACTCCCATGAAGAGTTACAGTCTCGGAAACTCTCAGGGGCAGTTCAACTGTATCCTCCAGGGTCACTCAGACTCTACCATCAGGGGTCCTTTAAATGGCATTAAAGAACTAACATTTTGTTTTTCCGTCCAATTACTGGAAGCTCTGTGGTCTGATTTTTATGTTAAAAGCAGAAGAATGAAGTCATTTTCAATTCTTGCTTTTAAAATGGTGTTGTGTTCTTGCTGGCCAGCCCTGTGCTCCTTGTTAGATTCAAGTTAGTCATCGTCCCTGGTGGCGGGGGCCCTGAGGCACTGACCACTGCAAGCGATCACACATGCCAGGGCCCTGAGCTTTGTGCCCAGGGAGACAGATAACTCCAAAGGAGACAAGGAGACTGCCTACTGAGCCCTTCTCCTCAATTGGTTGTTCAGCTGGGGACACGGAGGCTGGGAGAGACACTCGGGGTTGGTGGGACCTCTAACTCCAAGCCGCCATGCCTCTCCCAGGTGGTAGAGAGCCTGGCTGGCACTGGGGAAGGGGCGGGAGGGAGGAGGGGTGTCACTCACTGAGGCTCTTCATGGGGTCCGTGCTGAGGATCTGGCTGGCCCTCTTGGGTCGGAAGTAGTTGCTGGCGATATTTTCGCTGTCACTTCGACTGAGCATCACCTTGTAGCGGTCTTCTTCCTGCTGGGGTCCCGGTCCTGGTTGGTGAGGGCCCCTGGTACGTGCGAGCCCTGGAAGCCTGGTGGGGGAGCCTCCCTGACCTTCCCCTTACCTTGAGGGGTGGAGCAGGTGTCGCCCACTCTGGGGCACCTGACCTCCAGCCCAACCAGGCAGCTCAGGCCAGGGCAGCCACAGTGGCCAGGTGAACCCCTTCTCCCTTCCTCAGCTCGGGGAGGGCTTTGTTCCCTGGTTGAATCAGGGCAACCTCAAAACTGGGTGTTCTGCCAGCTCCAGCGTGTGTGTGTGTGTGTGTGTGTGTGTGTGTGTGTGTGTGTGTGGTGGTTTACACTCTGAGCCTGTCAGGGAATCCACAGCAGATGTGACCCAGTAGCCAGCTCTGGCACACTGGCCCTGCTCTCGCCACAAGCCCAGCTTCTCCTCACTGCCTTTTCATCAGGGCCGCGGGGCTGCTCTCCTCAGCCTGAGTCTGTCCTGCGGGGAACACCTTCCTCCCACTTGAACTGGTTCTGGTGTCCTGGTGGGCTGACCCTCCATACTTGCTTCCTGCATGACCTCACCTGGGCCAGTCTCACAAAGACGACTCCCTGGGCACAGCAATTGGACCAGGAGGAGGCCCGGGACCCAGGCCGATGCCCTCGGAATCTTCAGGATGCTGCCAGAGCTGGCTGGTCTCGTCTCGTTGGATTATGAATTGCCAGCGGCCAGGAGGTGCAGACGGACACAGAACCCTGGCACTGCACCCCTAGATCCAGCCATGCCTGTGCCTAGTCTGCGAACATGAACTGACCAATCCCCTATTTTGCTGTTGCGTATTCTCTATCACTGGGAAGATAAAGCACCCTGATCAATTGGGACCCCTCTAGGGTCCCAAGCTAACAGATTTGTTTCTCAGCAATAGTTTTCCTATACTACAGAGAGGCACCTCACGGTGTTCCCTGCAGCCACCCTTCCAGGTGCTTGGCTAGAATTCCATAGCCGTATGACTGAAAGGAATGCTCTGTGTGGACTTGCTGGATTATCTGGAATGGTTTAAGGGAAGGGTCAGCTACTAATGGCCCATGGGTAAGGTGACCAGACGTCCCGCTTTTGGAGGGACAGTCCCGATTTTTAACAATTTTTCCCGTGTCCTGCGGCGTTTTTAAAAGTCCTGATTTTTGGAAAGAATGCATGACAAGCTAAGGTAGACGGTTTTCAGCTGCCATGTGGCTATTTCGCCAGGATATGAGTTTTATCAATGGTGTCCCGCTTTTGTCCCGCTTCACCCAGGTTAACATCTGGTCCCCTTACCCATGGGCCACATGTGGCCACAGCCTGCTTCTGTAAATGAAGCTTTAGGAGACACAGCCACGCACATTCCCTAAGTATCATCATGGCTGCTCTCCTGCGACCAGCCGCCTCGGCGGTTCCCAGAGAAGAACCACGAAGCTTGCAAGGTTCAAGCCGGCTCAGCAAATGCTTCCCAAACCCTGCCTTACAGGCACTGGGGGCTTCAGATAAATTGCGGGGGAGTTCCAGTGTCGTCTTCCTGCATTTCCCCAGCTTCGGAAGCCCCCTCTGCCTTTCATGCAGCACGATCGACTGTGGGCGGAGGACAACACAGCAGGGTGGCCCGAGGATCCGGGTCTCTGGCTCCCCAACCCCAGAGAACCTTGAACATGCTGCCTGTCTCGGGTTTGGAGAAGCCTCCGTCTGCACCTGCAGGACGGGCCTCCTTACACCATTGCACTTCCCCTAGGCCAAGGCTCCCAGTGCAGGCCCAGCCTTAATCCTTAGGTAAACGGAGGGCAGGAATCTAGGCCCCCCCCACCATGCTGCCAGGGCCTTCCTTACCAGGCCTGGGTCGCCGTTGTCCGCTGCAGAGGTCTTGCGGACAGGTTTGCTTGGTGGCCCTGTTGGGACTGCCGTGGGGAAAAGAAATGCTGAGTTCCTGGTCCGGGGAGGGGGGGGTGAGGGCAGGGGTGGACTAAGCTGAGGGGCTATCCACAGAACTGGGGCTCAGGGGAGGACACATCCCCAGTCCAAACTCATTAACTTTGAGAAACAGATACCAAAGAAAGCGCCCCCCACCCCCACCCCCCACAGTTGCATGCAAGATGCTGGGCAGGGGAGGCTGCTGCCGCCCAGGGATTGTGGGAATGGGAGGGTCGAGTCTCTGCAAGGAATAGTCATGGCCGGCCACACCCATCAGAGAGGGAGGCCGTGGACAGACAGACACTGTTGGCGGGGAGGTGGAATGGAGGCCCTCAGGCCATGGCAGGACAAGGTAGGTGCTGCCACTCCCTGAAGGAGCAGAACCAGGCAGTGGCTGGAGAGAGACCCGTGGTGAGGTCTGGGGAGGTGAAGGGACCCTCCAGATGATCCTGCCCAACCCCTGCTTTGTAAAGAGGGGGCACTGAACGTCAGTGATGACCGGCGACCAAAGGTCCCACGTGGGGGGGTCTGGTCCATCACAAGAGCAGACAGCGAACCAGAGCATGTGCGCTGGTGTCCAGCCCCGTACCTACAGCTCACTCCATCTAAGTCCCTTCAGCCCCCTGGTATTCCCGCTCCTCGCACACCCCTGCGAGGCTGAAATCAGGGCAAAGATCCCTGGCCATGACAGAAGGCATCCAACACCAACTACAGGCCAGGCGGCGCTCTAACCAAGCATCTCACATGGGCAGTGAAGCCCAGGACACCTGGGACCTGTGCAGGGCGGTGACCCATCAGAGAAGGGAAGCCCCAATTTCTCCCACCAAACCCAAACCAAGCTCACTGCCATCAAGTCAGTTCCGACTCTCAGAGACCCTGTAGGGCAGGGTAGCACTGCCCCCTGTGAGTGTCCCGGATGAACTCTTTCCCCAGGAGCTGCGGGGAGTTTTCCGAACCGCTGACCTTGCTGTTGGCCCTGCTGGCACAGTGGTTACTCTTTGGGCCACAAGCTACAAGGTCAGCAGCTAAAAGCCCACGCCCCTGCTCCTCAGAAGATTGCGGAGCTAAGCCCATGGCTACAGTCTCGGAGACCCACAGGGGCAGCTCTGCCCTGCCCCTACAGAGTGGCCGTGAGTGGGCATCGCCTCGCTGGCCATCAGTTTGGTTTGGGTTTGGACCTTGCAGCTAGCAGCCCCACCGGGCTCCTCCTTTCCCACTATACTACCGAGAGTGAGGAGATGGGGCGAGGCTGTACCCTGCTGCTTTGGGAAAACAAGGGAGCCCTGCCCAGTCCCGCTTCTCACAGACTTCCAGGAAGCACACCGTGAACCCTCACACCCCCCTCTGTAAGGTGCTGCCAGGAATCCCCCTTCCTAGGTGAGGCGGCCAACTCACAGGAGAGACCCCGGAGTGGGGAGCCGGGATCCCGCTCCCAGCGGCCTGACTCCAGAACACACCTTTCTCTCTGGCCCCATGGGTAGGGCGCCCTGGTAGACTACAGGAGGGCAGACTGGGGAAGAAGGGGGGGTGGGGGGTGGGGCTGGAGGACGCAGGGGGCAGCCAAGCTCCTGACCTACTGGGAGGCTGGTTTTCAGGATGACAGGCTCGGGGACCTTCCAGAAGCCGTTATCCTCGTCCCAGGAGGACTCCCGCCGAATCTTCTCCAGGTTGCTGTAGTTACAGTCCCGGCGAATCAGGGGCTGCACCTGCTCCAGGAGCTGCTGGAAGAGCATGAAGTCCCGCTCCTGCCTGCGGATGGTGGCCAAGTAGTCGATCTTCTCCAGCTCAAACTCCGACTGGAGGTCCTTGATCTCCACCTCTGCCGCCCGGAGCTGAAAGCCAAGCAGGAGCGGCAGTGAGCAGGGAGAAGCCCTCGCAGCCCCGCTGACCATCCAACCAGTACCCCTTCCTGCTTGCCACTCATCCACCCATCCATCCATCCCTATCTCCACCATCCATCCATCCTGCCCATACCCTCATCTACCTGCCCTGCAACCACCAATCCTTCTATCCATCCACTCATGAATACTCCTCCCAACTCCCCTCCAGCATTTACATGAGCACCTACTATGCCCACAGCCTGCAAAGGTTTCTGAAGGAGGCGGCGGTGGAAGAACAAGAAGGAGGTGTTGTTCACCAAGCCATGTGCCAGCCTTTGATCATGACCCCACACCTGCACATTGTATCTAGGACCTTTTTTAAAAGTAACCCACAAACACTAGACCCCACCACAGCCCTGAACAGTCTCACAGAACTACACAGATAGTCTTCCTCAGGGAAGCAGAGCACTAGACACACCTGAGTCCGCTCTCTCCCACTGCCACAATTCTCACCACAGCGGGGTCTGACTGGACTCTGAGACTCAGTGGAGGGGGAGGACCATCAAGATCAGTCTCTCCAAACCTTTATTGTAAAGATGGAGGGACTGAGAATCAATAACCTTCAGACAGACACACAGGCGGCCAGGGGCAAAAGCAGACATTGAACCACCTGGAATGATCCACAGCTGGTTTCTCTCCAGCTTGGACAAGCCTTGAGCTTAAGAGTCACATCCCATCCGAACTTGGCCATGGATTCCAGACTCTCCTGCCCAGGTCTTCCAGCCGGGCCCTCCGATCCCTCTAAGCACCAGTGTCTCCCAACTCCAGCCATACCCATCCCTCCCCAAGCCCCACACAGCCGGCCGGCTGCATGGTCTGTTTCCACAAAGAGAGGATACAGTTCAAACAATAACAAAGCATGATTGCGTAAATTCCTGGGACTGATCGCTACCGGGACGGTTAGTTTGGTAAGAATCTGATGCGTGAAGGGGCAGCAGTTCCCCACGACGGGACCTACCACAGTGGACTTCATAATGGCACCTGCTGTGAGCAGCAAGCAGTGGGAGGCTAAGGAAGGTAGAACGGACGCCTAGGGCACAGTCCGACGACACTGACCATGCTCCGTTTCTTCAGTTGGATGTCAGATATGTCTTTTTACGTATGCACATATATGTACACGTATACTTACATATACACATGCACGGACATGTATTTGCAGTCCTCACTTACTAGCATGGTTAGGGTCCAAAGACTGGGCTATTATGTGGAATTCGGCACTCTTCAATAATGAAGGATGGCCCGTATCCGCTCACAAAATAGATAGAAGAGGATGACGTCATGACACAGCTGGATCACTGTGGATCAGGCCCAGCGTTACTCTGCATTTGTGACTATGTCACTGATGTGCACAATCATTGGATAGTGGCTTGTTTCTGGTGGTGTACGAGATCATCGCTAAGGGAGGGGGAGGTATAGCACTCTTCAGACCAGCAAACCACCGGAAAGCCCCCACGTGTCCATCTGGAGACAACACGTGAACAGTGCACACCTCTCGGGGGAGTATATCGTCGATACAATACCTATGCTGCCAAGGTATGAGAGGTAGGCTGGACTGCGCCTGCGTGCAGACATAGGGGTGGTTATGGGTTTTTCTACATATCAGTTTTGCTGCAATGTATAGTCATACATGTGATAAAGCACAGAGGGCGCACAGCTGTGGAAACTTCTTAGACAGAATCACCTGCAAGACTGAGGGAGTTGGCTGGAAAGCTAAAAACCACAGTCCTGTGAGTCAAGAGCCAGGGGCTCCATGTAGAACCCGCAGACAAGGTTCTAGCACCCCAGTCTGGCGAGCGGCGTGTGGGGTCTTACAAGTGTGCGAGTGGCCACCTCCAAAGCCACCCCTGCTCTCTGCACAAGGAGAGTGGAGAGAAGACAGGCTCAGGGGACATCCGTCCAAGGGCTAACGGCGCACGGTCGCCTGTGCCGGAGACCAGAACGCGACAGTGCCTGGCCACCACAGACCATGCCGATCGGGAGCACAACAGAATGTTCTGGGTAGAGGGGAGAAAAACGCAGATTGGAACTCAAATTCATTAAAAAAGAGAGTGAAAAGGACCAGACTTATTGGTTTGGTAGAGCCTAGAAGAGGCCCCCAGCACATGGTCGTAAAAGGCTCTTCTAATGAGGGCCCACAGCAATGGCCGCCTCGCAACCCCATGATAGGACAAAAGTAAGTGTTGACCCCTGGGAGGCATGTGCTCCTGAGGACAATCAACCACAGGACACCAAAGGCAACATTTGCCCCAAAAGAAAGAGACAGAAGGCAGAATGGGGTGGGGCAACCAGGGGCCGGAAGCAGGGAACAGGGGCATTGCAGAGCGTGCTGGCAGGCTCACGGAAGCAGGCTGTGTGACCATCACTGAAACAGATAGCACCTCTGCTTACACACTTCCACCTGCGGCACAGGCAGATGTTGAAAAGGAAAATCTCTGAGAACGAGCATTCAGTAATGTGAGCACCTTTAAATGATCTTTAAGATGAAATAAAACAACTGAACTATGGAACGTTATATCGCTAAGAGCGCCCAATAAAATGCTTTAGAAAACAATAAAACAAAGACTGGTTGCTGTCCGTTTGTTCGTTTGTTTTCAGGAGGCAGGCAGGAGAACTGTCCACCCACACTGCTGTAGAGCAGTCTCCAGGGTGGAGAGTGCCACTCACGTGTGTCCAGTGGACCTGTGCTCCACAGCGTGTCCACCGACTGGCTGTCTGGAAATACCTCGCAGGCCTTCTGAGGCTCCGATAGGTAGACTCAAGCCTCCAGGCTTTCAGTTAGCAGAAACGCACATTACCATTCGCACCATCCAGGGACAGCTGAGTCAGAGAGAGGGGACTTCTAAGAAGGGCCTAGGATGGATACACACACACAAACACACAAACACACGTCTGCTTGCTCAGGAAGAACTAGTCTTCAACATGGTGATCAAATTACAGGAAATTCACCTGAGAACATTATGAAAAGGTAAGACAAATCGCCAAGAAGATTTTTTTAAATGAACAACAAAAAGTAATTGACTTCGAAGATGTCAGGCTGAGGGCGATCAGGAACACTGCCAGACCCCGGAAATAGGCAAAAGAGATGATGCCGGCTCCCTGCAGAGTGCCGGCACTGCCCGGCAGACCCTCACACCCCGTGGACTTGTGTTGACTGGCGAACTTGCAAATACACAATTGATCTCCATCTTGCAAAAAGGCAGCCCCGCCCATGACATCTGAAGGCACGGCAGGATATCAGCCAGTGTTCTCACCTCTGTTGGCAGACGTATTTCCACCCCTTTGATTGTGCATGTTGACATGTGCAAATATAATCTTCAAATTCTCTTTGAAGTGGTCTTAACATCTTAAATGAGCTAACTAATGAGGTCAGGGACATTTTTGACATCTGTTTATTTTACATTTAGCCTATGAATCATCTTTTCAGCTTCTTGAAAAAACGAGAGTTTATCAGGAGCCTAAGACTTTACCCTGAGACCAGATGCATGCTCCAGCAAGCTCCTTGCCAGTGATACCAGTGTTTCCAGGGCGGGGACTGGGGGAGGACCACTGAGGATGGGCAAGGAGGACCCTGTGCAGAGAAGGTGCAGAGAGAGGCAGAAGTGCGCTCTCCTCTCCCCTAGCTTCCTGTCCATGCTGAGCTCAGCCACATTCCCTTCCTAGAAAGGTTGACCTGGCTGCTCTCTGCCTGGGAGGTGCTTCCCTCGGGTCACATGGCTGCTTCTTGGCTGTCAAGTCCCACCTCAGAGCCACTGCTCCCTTGAGAACTGCCCTGGCCCCCATGCACAGTGGCCCCAGGAAGTGCGGGGGTTCTGTTAATGCCCCCCTGCTGGCAGGGGTGGGGGTGCGGGTGTCATGGTAAGTGCACTTACGTCTCTAGTCTCTATGAAAAGGCGCAGCATAGCAGCCCTTCAGCTTTCTCTCCTCAGCACCGCCCACTTCTGACACTTCAGTGTCCACCCCAGCCCTGCTCCCTGGTAGCAGGGACAGGCTTGCGAGCTTGCCTGCCTGCCTGCAGGGGGGTGGGGGGCAGTGATGCCTGGGTGTGGGGAGAGGGGCTGGCGGCCCTCACCTTCTTCTGCATCTTCTCCAGCAGCTTGCTCTTGGCCCTGACCTCCTCCTGGATGGAGTCGTAGACGGTGAGCAGCATCCAGTCCCCGCTGTCCTCGTCCGAGTTCTGCAGGGCCGCCACCAGCTGCTTCTTGCGCTCGTCCGCGTACCGCTTCCGCCGCTTGTGCTTCTCCTTCAGGTCCTTGTTCTTGGCCTGCTCCCCGCCTACCACCTGCCGCTCCAGCAGCTGCAAGCTGGAGGGCAAAGGGGACTTGACCACACCTGGCGTGCGGCCAGCACTTGCTACCCAGCACGTGCTGGCTCAGGTGAGCTTTGTCCTACCCAGATCCTCCCAGAAACCCACTTTCCAGAGAAGGAAACTGAGGCTCAGTGTGTCTAGACACTTGCTCAGGGTCAGAACCGGGGGGGACTCCCAGTCTGTCCCCAGCAGCGGTGGTGACCGTAGGACAAGGGAGGCGAGTCTCTTCCTGCGGCGCCAGAGCTGCCCCACTTGCTCGTGCCCATGGGGGCGCTGCACCCCACAGCTGGGCAGACTGGGGCCTTGCTCTGAGGCCCTCTGCATGGTCAGGGCCATTCTGCACTCTGGGCCCTGGGCTCCGACACTGGCAGGGGCTAAGCCCCGAGCCAGAAGTGAGCAACGAGGCTCAGAGACGCTTCGAGGCCGAGTCTGTGAGGCCAGCGCTCCAGGTAGGCTCCTTACTGCTGGGGTGGCCTGACTCTAGGGTGGGACAGGCACCCGGGACGCTCCCTGGAGGTTTGGGACAAGCCATCTGCACCCCAGGTTCCACCCTGGGAAGGGAAGCTTACCGGGCAAGCACCTGCTGCTGGTCCACCACGGCGTCCGCCTCCACGCCTGCGCTCTCCCTCTTCAGGCCTCCCGGGGCCAGCAGGGGGCAAGGCTGGGCCACCAAGGCCACCGGGGTCTCAGCTTCAGCCTCCACACCGTGCTCTGGGGCAGGAGTCACCTCCTCGGACACTTCCAGGGCTAGGCCAGCCTCCTGAACAGAGAGAAATTAGCCTGGGGGGGTGGGAGAAGGGGGGAGAGGAGGCAGCCCCGGGGGCCTCAGCCCCCAAGGGGCCATCCTGGCCCCTCCACCGCCTGGGATAGGTCCCCTGTGGCAGAGAGACACCAGCTCTACAGCTCCCAGTGAATTCTATGCTCTCCCAGCTTCCCCGGCCACTCCATCCCAGCTGCGCAGGGCAGAGCCACTCCAAGAGGAGAAATCAAGTCCCAGACACCCATCCCCACGGGAGGGGCCCTTCTGGCTTCCCTTCCAGGCCTGCAGTGCCCTCCACAATGCGGCCTCGCCCTAGCCGACCCCTTATCCACCTGCAGCTACTCTGGCCTGTTTCTAATAAATTCGAGACCTTCCAGCCCCAGGGACTTCTGTACTTTGCCTCTGCCTTCCCTGGGCTCCTGCTTACTGCAGGAGTCACATCCTGTGTGTCACTTCCCTGGTAAAAGCCCCCTGGGGCCCTCCACCAACCCTCTGCCCTGCCTTCCACCTGCTTCCCTCCGGCTGGGGCTCTGCTCAGGCAGGGCGAACTCCAGGATGGAGGGCTCACCAGCCATCAGGTCCTGAAGGTGGCTATGTTCTTTCTCTACAAAAGCACATCATCTAAAGCCCCTTCTTTGTCCCACCCGCTATAGTGGCCTGCTGGGCTTTCTTGGGAAGCAGGTAGAGCCCTGAGGGTCTTCTCTAAGGGGGAACTTTGGGGCTGTAACCACGGCCTGTAATCATGGCCCCCCGGGGAAACCGGAGATCTTGGGCACTGCAGTCCTCTGACTGGGGCTTCACTTTGCAGGGACCATCTGGTACAACTCTATGATCAGGATGCTGTCCCCGTGCCGAGGATGGGAACAGAGAGAGGAGACAGGCCCTTGAGGCCCCTCCCACACAGAGAGCCCCCACAGGCACTCACCATCCTGGGCAGGGCAGGGCCATTTGCCTCAGGTTCAGGCCTGGGGTCGCTGAGCTGCAGCAGATCTGCCAGGAAGGGTTGCTGGGGGTGGGTAGGAGGGGGAGGGATGGTCTGAGCCAGAGTCATTCTGGGCCTTGACTCCAGGCTGCCCACAAAGCCCATTCTTGCCCTGTCTCCCCTGCTGAGAGGAGGTGTGGCTGGGGACAGTGAAGGGCAGAGGCAAGAAGAGCAAGAAGGAGAGTGGTCTGCGCACCGGCTGTGTGCCAGGGCCTGCACTGTCTCCTGGGAGGCACAGCACTACCCCCACTTTACAGATTACAAACAGAGGCCCAGAGAGCTCATTGCCCAAGGTCACCCAACTCCAGTAAGAGGGGGAGCTGAGATCTGCACCCAGGTCTGTTTGCCTGACTCAAAGGCCTATGGTCTTTACAGAGAGAGAGAGAGCAGAAAGCAGACACAGGGTGGAAAGAGGCATTTCTAAATGAGTTTCAAGGAGGCCAGAGGAGAGAACGATGGACAAGGGCCAGGGTGAGGGAGGGCAGCAACCCCGGTCCCCCCGGGAGCCGCTGCGAGGGGCCTGAGCTTTGTGAGGTGCAGAGGAGTTGGGCCAAGACCCCCTGAGCCCTGCAGGCCTGCACACTCGGCAAAGTCCCCAAACAGGTGTCCCTCGGGCAGCGGGTCAGGGCCTACCTGGCAGAACTTCCTTATCTCCATCCTAAGTTTGCTACCGACAGCATGTCCCTTTCCCAGTCCCACGAATACCAGGCCCCGAGTGGTCACCAGAGCCTGTGCCACACGGGGAGGCAGCAGAAGGGGCAGCTCTGTGGCCCACCGCACCCCCAACCCTGCATGGCATCAGCTACCTGCTTAGGGACTTTGGCTGTGTCCTCGGGGGGCATGTCTGTCTTGGCCACGGTGGCGGAGAGTTTGGCCAACTTGGCTTCCAGCTCGGCAAAGGGGTCCTGCAGACCCGGCAGCAATTCCAGGACCCTCAGTTCTGGCTTCTCTTCCTGGAGGGAGCTCACATCCCCCTGAGACCTGGTGGCCTCCTGGCTGAGACACTCCTCCGGGAAGTACTTGTCCTTGGGCTCGGGCTCGGGCTCGGGCTCGGGCTC